GACTTTTGTGTTTTATCAAATAGTCGGCTCTAGTAAAGGCTCTCCCGCACTCTGAGTCTGAGCACACATGGGTTTTCACACTCTCATGTTTTTTTCTGGTGCGCTTTGAAATACGGATGCCATAAAAACCCTTTCCCACAAACAGAACAGACATAGGGTTTCTCGTTTTGATGAATTTTCAGGTGTCTCTTTAGGTATGACTCCAAAACAAACCTTTAATTGCAGTACTCACAGGTAAACTCACCTTCTTCAGAGTGAGAGTGGCGCATGTGAATTTTCAGACAGCTTGCCCATGCAAAACCCTTTCCACACTGGTGGCATTTGAAAGGCTTCTCTTCTGTGTGAATTCTCATGTGATACGTTACGTCTCGTTTACTCATGAAGCGCTTTCCACACTGAGGGCAGGTGAAAGGTCTCTCTCCGGTGTGTATTTGTGTGTGTTCCTTAAGATGCCCATTATTTACAAAACTCTTTTCTGCACTGAAGGCACGTGTAAAGACTCTCTCCAGTGTGGATTTTTATGTGGTCAGTGGTCATTAAGGCTCCTTTTATAACTGAAACTCTTTCCACACTGAGAGCAGGTGAAGGGCTTGCCTCCATTGTGATTCAGTAAGTGACTCTTAAAGTGTTCGCTACGCCTGTAACTCTTGCCACACTGAGGACAGACGAAAGGCTTCTCCTCATTGTGAATTAGTATGTGATCATTGAGGTTTCTTCTGCGTGAGAATCTCCTTCCACACTGAGGGCATGAGAATGGCTTGTCTCCTATGGAGCCAGATCAGACTCATTAATAATTCACGCAAAAAATACGATTCACACATGCGTAGACAATTTCACATGCGTGAAACCTAATTCACGTACACACAAAAAAAAAATCACGTGCGTGAAAAAAAAACATATTCACAAAAAGCAATTCACATGCACAAAATAAAATTATATATTCATAAAATACATTTCACAAATGCAAAACACAATTCGTAGATATACAACTGTGCACAAAAACCTTTGAATCTTTAAAATGTACGAGTGTGTCCTTGAATTTGAATGTGCAAATCGTCATTCACGTACGAATCGCCTTGGATGTGTGTGTGTGTATTTTTTAAACTTTCCTGGCAGCGCTTACTCGTAAAACAGAGCAGTCGTACTCTTCAGCCAATCAGATTTAAGCTCATCAATCGACCAATCAGTATCACGTGAGGGCGGGCCTATCTGTATGTTACGTCATCAGCTTTCGACCAGTTCATGGCTGAGCAGAGGTAAGTGCAGTTAATCGTTCATTTCGGTGTTAACGGAAGTTAGAGATCAGTTGAAGCAATAGTTTATGAACTATTAACTGATGTAAGCAAGTGTTGTTGTAATCAGATGTCCCATATCGTGTCAAAATGAAGAAGGATGATGCTTGTTTTGTTGTATTTTAGACAGCTCTCAGCTACAATCATCACGCTAATGATTGCAAAACAATCATCTGTGGTCAATACCCACCCTAGCTCTCTCAGCACTGGCCTCATCGAGATTGTTCTTATAATGGTGAATAGACCTTTTTATAAAGCACCCAGTGTTTATTTGCTATTTGTGTATGTTGTTAAATTATTATTAACACTTGTTTCCCTGCATTTTTCAGGATTACTCACCTTTGGTGTGACATCTGGATAGCAGTCACAAACATCTTAATCCATGTTGTTTCTTTATTCTCTTTTATACTTTTGTTTTTATGTCTTAATTGGTAACACTTTACTATAACGTTTCATTAGTTAACATGAACTAATAATGAACTGCACGTAAACAGCCTTTAATTATTTTTTGTTAATGTTAATTTCAGCATTTACTAATACTTAATTAAAATCTTGTTAACATTAGTTAATGCACTGTAAAGTAACAATAAACAGCTATATTTTTAACTAATGTTAACAAAGATTATCAAACACCGCAACAAATGTATTGCTCATGGTTAGTTAATATACATTAAGTAATGTTATTGTACCATATTGTAGTGTTACCAATATTCAACATGCATTTCCTTATGTTTTGTGCTGTATTGTCATCTTAAGGTTTTTAAATAAGGTTTTTTATTGTCATCTTAAGGTCTCACAGGACAATATTGTGAAGCTTTAATTTTACTTTGCTTAGTAAAATAGGCAAATCTGATTTTGTGCTGATAAGACAAAGGTACTTATCATAGAGAGGCAATTAAGATTATGCGACTAAGATTACTCAGTAAACTCTATTCAAATACCATCACTTAATTTCCCACGTCCTCTGTCTGCACCTCTCGTACTATAGGTTGTTACTATTTTAAATATCAGGACAAAATCTGATATGTCCTAACAGAGAGGTCTACTGATGACTGGATTAAACACAATTCATTTGTTCACTTTTCACTTGATGTATTGCACTTATATTTATATACTTTAAAAGCAAAGTAGACTCTGACTGGATCTCACAACTCTGGAAGAGATGTATATTTCTCTGTACTGAATGTTCATGATCTTCATATGTAACAGGAACATTAATCATGATGAAGTCATTTTATATATATTTTATTCCCAAAGAATTTCGGAAACGTTAAAATTAATAAAACGTGTACATCAAATTTAACTATGTCTTTGAATCTTTTCATTCTGACAAGAACATTTAATAATGCATGCATAGCAAGGCTGTATTCCTAGAGCGTGTACATATAGTCCGCAGGAGACAAATGAATACAGTAACAATGCATCACTTTCAACCTCTTGTTGAAACAACTGTCAAAATGGTTGGCTTGCAACATGACTGTTTTCAAAGATTTACAGTAGGAATGGTAAGATCACAGTTCTGGTTGTCTGCAACTTCATACATCATCTGTCTCGGAAATCTGAAACAATAAAACTACATAATATATGATGCTTAAAACAAAACATGTCTCCTATATATGCACGTCATTACATACATTATCATCAGTTGAATGTGTGGTGGACAGGACATGAAAATCCATCAATACTAAAAATAAATGTTTATGTTCACATGTGGACTGAACAGCAGTTAATAAACTATTGCATCAACTGATCTCAAGCTTCTTTAACTTCAGTTAACACAGAAATGAACGAGTAACTGCACTTACCTCTGCTCAGCCATGAACTGGTCGAAAGCTGATGACGTAACATGCAGGTAGGCCCGCCCTCATGTGATACTGATTGGTCGATTGATAAGCTTAAATCTGATTGGCTGAAGAGTACGACTGCTCTGTTTTACGAGTAAGCGCTGCCAGGAAAGTCTCAAAAATACACACACACACATCCAAGGCGATTCGTATGTGAATGACGATTTGCACATTCAAATTCAAGGACACACTCGTACATTTTAAAGATTCAAAGGTTTTTGTGCACAGTTGTATATCTACGAATTGTGTTTTGCATTTGTGAAATATATTTTATGAATATATAATTTTATTTTGCGCATGTGAATTGCTTTTTGTGAATATATTTTTTTTTCACGCACGTGAATTTTTTTGTGTGTACGTGAATTAGGTTTCACGCATGTGAAATTGTCTACGCATGTGTGAATCGTATTTTTTGCGTTAATTATTAATGAGTCTGATCTGGCTCCATAGTCTCCAGTGTGAGTTATCATGTGATCGTTGAGGTGGCCTCTATGGGCACAGTGCTTTCCACACAGAGAGCAGGTGAAAGGCGTTTTGTCTGTTTTTTGTGAGATTTTTTTTTTCTGTTTGGGAGCAACTCGATGATTTTTCTCCAGAGAGGACATCAAGAGCTTTAGATGCAGATGTGTCTTGTCCACTTTATTCAGATCTTCCTCTTTCAGTTTCATCTGGCCTGAAATGACAACACGGGACAAATGTAAATAAGAAAATATAAAACGGAACAAAATCATTTTGTTGTAATTGCTTCATCTGTTTATTTATTTACAGTCTATGGTCCTCTCTCTCCTCTTTAATAAACATCACCTTTAAAGTTGCATATCACCTCGCGATATTTCGTCTTGTTTGGAAACGTCTTGCGTCTGAGATGACGGTAATATTGCAAGCGTTTTATTGTATTTGATTCGTGTCTTTCTACTATGGACTTTAAAGACGTTTGAATGTAAAATATGTGTTTCAAGTTTGTAGTCAGGGATATAACTGTCATTACCATATCCAGGGGCGTAATTTGTGGGGGGGGGATGGGGGGGATATAACCCCCCCCAATATTTAAATCTTTGCATTACAACCCCCCCCATTATTTATACCATGATCACAATATCAGGAGGCATACCCAAACTTCAACCCCCCCAATGTTCAAACCAAATCTACGCCCTTGACCATATCTATGGTCATTGGTTGCGTTGTTGTCATCGTCTTCTTGGTTGTCAAGAAGCACCTTTTTGGCGCATTGCTGCCACTAACTGGTCCGGAGTGTAGACGTGAGAGGACAACAAACTTTTCTGCAGCTTTATTTTCTTCTATTATTTATTTATTTACTCGTACGAAAGTCTGTTCTATTGACTTGTTATTTAAACAATACAATATTTAAACAATACTTTAACTATAATGTAAACCATATTTAAACAATGCATGCAGGCATCCTTTTCATAAGTTCATAAATGTATGAAATGCATAGTCAACAGTTTCACGTGTAATTAGGTATTGTTCCACACCCCGCCACACACACACACAATTTTCCATAATAAGTGCATTTATGCCATATTTTAAATTCAACATTTTTATCAAAGAAAATTGAAACGAGCTGCATTGCCGTTTGTATTTTTTAACAAACAAAAAAAGCCATAATCATAAAATAAATGGACAATGCTCTCGTTTCCTTCTTTACAAAAAAAAAAAAACACAATTAAAGGCAATGTCTTTCCAAATCTTTGCAATCAAGGTTTTGGCAGTTTTGGTCACAACTCACAGATCGCCGCTTGTCAAACTGACTGCAATACATACAGTGCACGGTAGATGGCGGTAATGCGTCTCTCTGTGAACAACACATAGGGAACAACAGCATCCGGAAATACAAAAACAGACAGAGCCGATTTCGGCTGTTGCCACTGGTCGAATTGAGTGGAGCAGTAACATATTCTGATAGAAAAAAAATGCCCGTTTGTTCAGCTTATAAGTGCAAGAAACGCTCCGATGGATCATATAAAGAGGCATACAAAAGGGGCGAGTTTTCTTTTCACACGTAAGTTTTATTGCAAGTTCCAAGTCAACCTCAAATGGAAAGTCCATTAATCAAAATATACACACACATATAACAACTGTTTCAATATTGTGTAGTTTCTAATCAGACATGCCACAGTTTTGACAAAGTATTGTAATAGTAACCATCTTACGGGACTGTTGTCATCACAACGTTGGCGTGTGTATTGCATTTTTAAGGAGCTGTTAGGTCGCGATATAATGTATTCCAGTGACTCGAATCTTTTGAAGGTGGAGGGTAGTATATTTTATTTAATTCAGAGCTGAAAAATAGTGAGTCAAGAGCAGAACAGAGTCAGCGTTCTACAAGAAGGAAAGTGGGATTAGAAGTAACGTTACCCCGGTAGGTGGCAGTACTATCAGTATTCAGTACTATCTGTCCTAAAATCCCACTAGAAGGACAGTTTCCGGAAATACTAAATACGCTCTTTCAGTTATGTCTGTAATGTATAACGTGTTAAATTGCATTGAAGTTGAATAAATTCTGTCTTTCTGTAAAAAAAATGCCTGTGTGTTCAGCGTATAAGTGCAAGAAACGTTCAGATAGAGAGTATAAAGAGGCATACAACAGGGGCGAGTTTTCTTTTCACAAGTAAGTTGAATATCTCATATTCGTAGTTTCAAACAACCATACAAAAACGTATCATATTTAAATTTACACGCACATTTATCCAACATGTGTACAGCTTTGTCACGCATGCATTAGTCAAGTCAATTGTATTATATAAAATATATAAAGTGCTTATACAAAACAGATTGTTTCGAAGCAGTTTTGCAGTGATAACAGGAGAATTAAGCATTTCGGCTGTTGTTCAGTAAATTCAGTGTTGATTCAGTTCCATTAACGCTTATGCATTTCTATGCGTGTCTGTTTGTTCATTAATGTGTAAAACATGCAGATTCCCATTAGCTGATGGTTTGAGAGTGAGAGAGTGGCTCCGTCGGATGAGATGGCAGAACTGGTGGCCAACTGGAAATTCAGTCCTGTGCTCGGATCATTTCGAGAAGGACTGCTTTGAACAAATGGGCAGCCACAAACGATTGCGAAAAAATGCTGTCCCGACTATCTTTAATTTCCCTAAACATCTCCAGTGGAAGGCAAGTCAAAACAGTTTTTTAATGTCTTTAAATGTTGTGGTTGTTATGCATATGTGCGTATTTCTTGTGTTGCTGCTACATACTGCAGATTTCCCTTTCATAAACTCTTTTTAATTTGTACCTTTCTTTGTAAATGTTTACACCCAGGTACCAGCTGTCAAGAGACGATCTCTGGTATGTATTGGAGGTTAGAGTAATCACTCTTCATATCTAGTAAAAAAGTTTAGTGGCTACATTTCCAAAAACAGTGGTTCTTTACATCAAGGCATTTCTAAATAAACCAAAGTTGTTGGTTTTCCTTTTCAGCCTTTGTCATGTTAATAGTTTTGTATATTGTTGGGCTTATGCAGTTAATGATAATATTAAACAAACTTCAGTGTTTGATTTATATTTACATTTATTTTCATGCTCTGTTGTGGGGTTTCCCAAGATGGGGTTTGTGAGGGAACTGCAGGGGCCATTGATGAAAAGCTAATAATTAATGATATCATAAACATGTTAAAATAACAATGAATATTTTTAAAATAAAAACAATACAAATAAACACTTGCAATCAAAAATAAACACTTACACATGTAATGAGTTCATTAGCCAACATCCAATGTGTTGTTAAATTATTAAAAATGACCTTAATCTAAGGGGGTACTTTGGGACACCACTTGATGTCCTGTGTAAAATCTGGGTCCTCAAATCATAACCAGTTGAGAACCACTGTTTTAAAGCTCTTTTTTAGGAAGTCTTTTATCTTTCATTATCATTTTTAAAACCAGAATCGTAAGCCAGTTGAAGTGCCTATCAAACCAAAACCAACCCCAGTGTCAGCGCCAGTAACACCACGGTAGGGTATTTGCAATTTATTTAATTTTTCTCAAATAAGTTATTCTCTCTAATTGTTTTACTAATGTTAAGTAGTAAAACATCTCTCGGTCATGGTTTGGTAGGCTTCAGGGAAAGTTTGTTCGTGTGACTGTGGATTCTGATGGTTCCAGTGGCCCCTTTCATGCTGGCAGCTTTCACGATGACTACTGCAAACCGCAGGTTCATAATTGTTGATTTTAGGCTTCTGATTGTCGAGCATCTTATACACTTGTGCATTGTATGCCACACAATGTGTTTTCACAGAGCTTTCAATGGATGAAGCTGTCAGAGGGTGATGATGAGGAGGAGGATGATGAAGATGATGATGGCGACAATGACACTAGTGTATGTAGACCTTTACAGTCTTTCAGGTTGTAAAAGTTCAAACTTACGCCTGACAGATCTGAAAATCTCCTAAATGGTGTTTTAGCATTTATTTTAATTTTTTTTACATACAGGATCCTGGAAATGATGTCGCTTATGATGATGCACCTCTTGACACGCCTGAAAATCCAAACACACAGTTTATCAGGGTATGCCTCTTACAGATTTGTATTTAAGTTCTCTATTACTGTTATTTTTTTTGTATGAAGATTTGAAAGTGTAGTCATAATATAGTTATGAAAGGGAAAGGTTATGCTTCCTTTCTGTGAAGGCCATGATATGCCAAGCCGACGGTCGGACTTTGGGCCGTCAGTGAGTGTCGGGCTGGTTTTTGTGGTGGCAGTGTGCCCGATTCGGCATGTTGTATTGGCGTCGAGGCCATCGGTGAGAGAGATCACTCTGATTGCTGTTCAGTTTAGCGAACGAGTATGAGAATAAAAGCAAAAGTGATAAAAGCGAGCCAAGTCAAGATGACATAGAAAGAAGGCTGTTCTAATTTTACAGTATCTTTCCTGAGCATTCCAATATGGAAATATTTTCATAACAACATGAGCCGTCTGGAATGAATCAAGTCAAGTCACCTATGTTTATACAGTGCTTAATACAATTCAGATTGTTTCAAAGCAGCTTTACAGTGATAACAGAATAATGATTCAAATAGTGTCATTGTTCAGCTGAAGTCAGCTGTTGTAAGGATCATCAGTTATTAGTTCATTTCATCTATAAAGCAGTTCTGCAGAAAACAGTGATGTCATCGTCCAGCTCAGTTCAGTTCTCATCTGATAGTATCAGTGCAGTCAAATCAATCAAATTGCTGAATATTAAGTGTCAACCAACTAAGCAAGCTGGAGGCGACAGTAGCAAGCAACCTAAACTCCATCAGGTGAGAGAATGGAGAGAAGAAAAAAAAAACAGGCTCAGTCTGGGGTCAATTCTCCTCTGGCCTTGAAAAGTGATCAGCTAGTAATCAGCGTGATTGATATTCAAAACGGTAAGCAAGCGCTGCTTTGTTTTCAGTTTGTATATCTGCAGTCCAAGTTTCGGTTAAGCTTTTTTGAATGACGAATATAGACTATTGATACCTGCTGATATGGACAGATATTTACATACACGCAGACGCAGAGCGCACGTGCAAGTTGACAGTCGCCTTTAGTCCTTTCGTGTGTTCAAACGCAGCTTTTTGTCCCAGATGAAGCTGACGCAAGGTGACAACAACACAGTCAGCTTTCGTCGCCGCTAGTTCTTTAACCCTCTGGGCTTCTTCGGTCAAAAATGACCGAAAACTGTTACGTTTTGAAATGTTTAATTTTTTTGCTTGATCGGATCGGGCTGAAACTTGGTGACTTTTCATGTATTACCTATATGAACACACAAAAAAATCAAGGAGATGATTCTGATTTGTTAAAGGGTCGTAAAAAAAAAAGTCACACTTAGCTTCCTCCCGGTCAAAAATGACCGACATAGGAAATGAATGGGAAATACGAAAAAATAGGAAAACTCAGAGAAACTTTTGCTGGTACAAGCTACAGATCAGCAACTGTGCCGAAAAAAAGTGTACAGCAATGAAGGGGTGACACTCTAGAACATCAAGAGTGCAAATAAGATCACCCCACACACACACACACACACACACACACACACACACACACACACACACACACACACGCACACAAACACACACACATACACAGATAAACTGGCAAGACTGCAACAGCAAATTTGTAGAATATGAAAAATAAAATCAATAAATGAGAAAAAAATCTTGCTCAAATGCGCACTCACACCCACACACGCATGCACGCACACACACACACACACACACAGAGAGAGAGAGAGAGAGAGAGAGATTAACTGGTAAGACTGCAACAGCAATTTTTGCATATATTTGAGAATATGCAAAAATTTATAAATAAAAAATACAAAAGAGTGTCACTCAAATGCAACACACGCACGCACACACACACACACGCACGCACGCACGTACACACACACACACACACACAGAATTACTACAACAGAATTACAAATAATTACAGTTTGTATGTATATAGTTAAAATAATGTTTATTATTGTTATTATTATTATTATTATTAACATTTTATTTTTTAACCTAGTAAATGATTGTTTGCTGTTATTTATTTTGTTTATTTACGTTCATCACAATTGCTGTTCCCTTCTGAAGTTATTACTACTTATTGAATTAAAATTAATAAAAAATACCAATTTATTGCAAAATGTCTGTATGAAGTGTTTTGAATTATCACTAACCATCCCTTTTTTTGTCAAATTATTTGAATGATCAAATACTGAGAAACAAAAATGTTTGCATTGTGTTCCCTTTCTAACCAAATGCTATAGTTTGATTGTAATCATAACGCAAAACCTAATACTTATCTTAAAAAATTTGTTAAAAAAAATAAATAATTAGTCTTTTAGAATATCTAAATGTATATTTAAATAAAAAAAAACGAATAAGATTGAGAAATCATGTCTAAACCAACAAAAAGAATCAAAAAGCCTTTCTATGTATTTATGTAGGAAGCTATAGGCAGCCTACAGGCTGTACAGGACATTGCACACATGTAACTATTTTTAAAGCCACTAGGTGGTGCTCTTCTACTTGAATTATTTTTTTTTTATTAAGCTGACACTCTATTTTGATGTGAAATGTTGTATTTATTGAAAAAAAAATATATATATATAAAATAAAAATATGTATATTAATTCTAATGGAAAAAATAGCTCATAAAAATTATATAATTAATGCAAAGTATCATAAAAAATTCTAAATAATAATCAGAAAATATTATAGAACAAAAATATATTTGAATGGTTATCCTGGGAAGAAGTAAAGTTAAATTTTAAGGCTTCGTCCGTTTTTGACCGGGAGGAAGCTAAGTGTAACCCATTTACGAAGAAGCCCAGAGGGTTAATGTCAGCTTGGTGTGTCACGGCCTTAAAATCATTTTTACATTTAACCCCTGGTCTTCTATTACCTTAATGTCTCTATTTTTCAGGTGACTGAGAGATGGCAATGGCTGAGTATAGATGTAACAGGGCCATTTCAAGAAAGCAAAGGCGCCTATAGCCACATTGTGGTCATCTGTGACTATTACACCAAGTGGATTGAGATCTTTCCATCGGAAAAGCCTAATTCTGATTCCATTGCCCTGCTTATGTGTGATGCCATTTCCCGGTATGGTTTTCCTCTGGGATTTCTCACACCTTGGGGTGCCAGAGGGATTCAAGTCAGAACGGTCAGCCCTACATTATGATTGGCTATTTATTTATAATTGTGAATTGTATTTTTATTTTTTCAAATGTGCTGCAAAGTTTCTAAAATGTCTCAGTGCAGTTTAGTTTGTGATCATCTCCCATTTTGCTTATTTTTGTCAAGGTTAACAGAGCACTCAATAATATTCTGATGATAAAGGATATTTCCCTTGTCTCTCGGCATCATCAGGCTTCACAGCTTGAGCCTCACACACAATACCACATTGTCAAGTGAGTTTGGAATTGTTTGGATGTAAATCACCATGTTCCAGAGTCTGGAGTTATTTTGAAACATTTGTGGTACTGTTTGTCTACAGTATGGTAGAAAATCTGGTGAAGAAGCATCCAGAAAGTTGGCATGTTCATTTGCCTGTCAGCGTGCTGCGCTTCAACTGCAGTGTGCACCCAGAAACCAAACACAGACCTCTGTCTCTTCATCGCAGTGCGGGAACTAGACCTTATACATCACCCAGAGATCAGCCAGTATGTATTGTATTTACTGAAATGTTACTGTGACATTTCAACAGCTTTGTCCACACTGGCAGCCCAAATCCAATTGATTATTGGGTATGATTATGATTATGTCAAGAATCATGAGCAGAATTACACTGCTATTTTAGTCATTTTGTTTAGACATGGACAAATGCGGTGGTTAGTGAAGTTTAGTTTTGTGATTCTACACATGTATGCACAACTAAATAATTGATATACACCATTCAAAAATATTTTTTTATAAGAAGTGTCTTGTGCTCAAATACAGTACAAACCGTAACATTGTGAAATATTACTATTTAAAAATAAGTGTTTTCTGTTTCAATGTCTTTGAAAATATAATTTTATTCCTGTGATGACAAAGCTGAATTTTCAGCATCATTACTCCAGTCTTCAGTGTCACAGGACTCTTCAGAAATCATTCTAATATGATGATTTTCTGCTTAAAGGTGCTCTAAGCGATGTCATGTGTTTTTTAGGCCAAAACATTTTTTGTCACATACAGCAAACATCTCCTCACTATCCGCTGGCTGCCTGTCCCCTGAACACACTGTAAAGAAACGCGATCTCTGTAGACAGCCCATGCTTCACAAACAGCACCAAAAACAAACTGCAGCGACCCGCTCCCCAAAACATAACAAACTGTTCCAGCCAATGACCGACAAGAAGGGTTTGGGGGTGTGGTTTGGGGGGTTAGTGTGCGGATGAGGAGGAGGGAGGGTCTAGCTAGCCTCCGTTTTGTTTGACAATAGTTCGAACGTCAACAAGAAGTGACGTCACCCAGGATCGCTTAGAGAACCTTTAAGAAATGTTTCTTGGGCAGCAAAATAAGCATATTGGAATGATTTCTGAAGAGTTTTCAACTCAAGAGTTTTCAACATTAATAATATTTTTTTGTAGAAACCGTGATATATTTTTTCAAGTTCAAAAGAACAGCAATTATTTGAAGTCATTATAAATGTCTTGACTGGCACTTTTGATCAATTTCATGTATCCTTGCTGAATAAAAGTGTTCATTTATTTCTAAACAAATTCTACTGACCTCAAACTTTCGATTGGTACTGTATACATAAAGTATATGATTAAATTTGATTTGTATTTTGTTTTTCAATCAAGCTCAGTGAAGATGACCTTGCAAAGTACACTTTCAAAATACAGAAACCGAACCCTTTCAAAGAAATTGAGGCACTGAAACAAATATTCCGTGAGTATGATCACCTCCTGTCCAAATCTCTTATCAGTTTACCTTTCCTTCACATCTGTGCTCATTATCATTTAACTTTTGTTAACACAGGAGAATCAGCAGACTGCATTGTCGTTTCATAAGGCAAAAAACATAGTAAGTATGAATTAACCGTAGTACTTTATTTGTTTTCTGATTTTTTTATCTTGTCATGAAATTTTATAAATTGGAAAATGCACTACTACAGCATATTCAGCTGTTTTATTTTGTTTCCTCTGTTGCTAGTGTGCCTGAATATTGTAACTGGTGTGTGACTTCAAACTGAAAGTCATGTGAGGAAGCTCCGTACAGACCACATTGATGAAGGGATTGAAAATAATGTCGTTAAAGTCCATTTAGACCCTGACTGAGGTGTTGTTTATTTGTGATTTTTTTTTTTCATATTGAAATGTTATGCAGCATTGTGAATAAATACTGTTAAAGGTATTTAAGAGAATAGTATGAACTGTAAAATAAACTGCTTTGAAAGGAGTTGAGTCTGATTCCACCAGACTGAGCCAGCAAAAGATAATCTAATGTAATAACCAACAGCTATGTTTACCATGATGCCATTATAAACTGATGATGCCACAAATATTCCTGTGAGTTGCAGGCAATCCTAAAGGATATTGTGGGGGCCTGAAATGATTGTGCTTGATTAATATGACAAATACTTTTCTTTTTTAATAAACCTTTTTATAATGTTGACTCGACAGTTTATTCCAGCAAAGTCTTATTCAGAATAAACTGTTTATACTTATTTTGATGTCTATCATTGTGTATTTCATGTCCATTTGTAATTCCAAGCCACACAGTCCCAAGTACTTTCTAGAATGTACACTAAATAGCCAAAAGTATTATGATATGTTATTCTAATTAACACATTTAACTATTCCAGTAAAAACAAATGGTATTGCTACATCACACATTTCATTCTAAAGCACGAATATTGTTATGCATTAAGATTTATCATCACTGGAATAGCCAAAAACAGTACACTAAATAGTTGGAAAATGTAAATAGTTTGTGCCTAAGCAACAAGTGTTAGTTAAAAATAAATGTAATGAGTTATGTGAGGCCACTAGAGCGCGACCGTCTCCGGGACAGAAAAGAGTTCACGCTGCTCGCGCAAAGACATCTGGGATTGTGGAGGACTGGCTCGAGCGCTTTGATTTCCGCAGTGCAGCGTGGGATAGTGGAAGAAGTCAGCGAAACAGCCGTAGAGAAATGGTGAGTGAGCAAGCAAATAAAACCTAGATCAAATGTATTTATTCGTTTTGTCGTTTGAAAACGTAACTATTAATGTTTTAATCAAACTAGCTGCTGGATGAAGTGGCTAGCTTGTGTAAAGGTAGCCTTTTCACAGACCTCTTTGTTTCGCAATATTTTTAGCAGCCCGGCTAACGTTCCCTGCTCAATCCGCCCAATTTATTGTGTAACTTGGTTGTTTGACTCTAAATTGCGCTCGACGACGGTCATGGTCAGTCAATATGGAGAATCGATGTACAATCAGTTTTGTATTGTGTATTTGTATGAGCGCTGCGCAGTCCCTGTGGCCGAAACGGGGCTGTTAACGTTAATCGCGGTGTTGATTTCGTGACAGCTCCGTAATGTAGGAACGGGCTGGTCCTGTCATTGATCATTCTGGGCTGTGGCTTTCAGATGGTCATCGACTTGAGATTTAATCTAGCCACACATACTGAAGTAGATGAATAGTTAAAGGTTTTTCGAGAGCAGATTGGTTGCTCCATGTTTCTACCCTGCCGTCGTTACTAGCTCCAGTTTGCACGTCCATTTTTAATAGATAACTTGCGCTAGCCTGGCGTCAGCTGAATATATAACGTTACTTTATTCAGCCGCTTCAACGTTAGTCTCACCGAGAATTCAGCTCTCCATAATGCTGGTTAGGAGTTTGCAGTAAACAAATCGCACAACAACGCGCTACATTTCCTAGGTGTTGCCAGTAACTAAGTCAACAACAACTTAACACAACTGCAGCTGTCGGCGTTGCATTTGTGTAGTTGACATGTTTCAGCTGTTCACCATCAGCTTTTCTTTTCATTATTTAATTTGAAAGCCAGTGGTTGTTTCAGTTGTAAATTGCAAACACCGCTTTAGGGTTAAGATATATTGACGTTAAGTTAGTTGTTTGTTATTATGTACCCGTTTCGATGTACAGGATTATTTTCCTAAAGTAGTTGATGCTTCCCTATGTTTGGTGAAGGACAAGGAATGCTCCGTAAGATTTGAGCCATGAGTGGACACTGTATAGAATCACATCTCAAAGATAAATTGTAATAATGAGATGGGATTGAAAGTTGCTTGCTTTTCTCTTCAGGATGTCTTTTTGATGATCAGACGTCACAAGACAACCATCTTCACAGATGCTAAGGAGTCTACCACAGTCTACGAGCTGAAGCGGATTGTGGAGGGCATCCTAAAGCGAGCACCAGAGGATCAGAGACTTTATAAGGTCAACAGAAAACTTTTTAATATTATTGTTCATTGATGTATATTTCAATAATGTTACAGCTCACTTAGTACAGTTCTTTTATTCAGCAAGGAGGCATTAAATTGATCGAAAGTGACATTAAGGACATTTAATGATACAAAAGATTTTTTTATTTCAAATAAATTGTTCTTTTGAACTTTCTATTCATCAAAGAATCTTGAAAAAATGTATCCACAAAAAAAAAACATTGCAGCACTACTGTTTTTAACATTGATAATAATTAGAAGTATTTATTGAGCAGCAAATCATAATATTAGAATGATCTCTGAAGGATCATGTGACACTGAAGACTGGTGTAATGATGCTAAAAATTCACCTTTCCCATCACAGGAATAAGTTACATTTTAAAATACATAAAAACATAGAAAAGAGTTGTTTTAAATTGCAATAATATTTTACAATATTATGGTTTCAACTCTATTTTTGATCAAATAACATTTTTGTTCCAAAAACATTAATAAACTCTTAGCGACCCCAAACTTAAGAATAGTAGAGTGTGTAGCCAACTGATAACACAAACTATCACAGAATTAATAAAATCCATTGCTAATAATAGCTAAAACCCCTTACGCTAAAAAAAACCCCTCACAAATTAAACAGAGTTTTATAAATGTGAGTGGCTGCTGTCTTTTTTTTTTTTACACAAGATTAACAGAATAGAAAGTGAAAGACTTAAAGGTACACTATGTAACTTGTGGAGCCTTGCGGTTAATAAACAGAGAAGTAGCTCCAGCTACAATGTTCTTCCGCAAGACGCATGCAGTTTTATTTATGTATATGACGAGTCACATGGGTACTGGGCTACTCCACAGCGTTTGTGTCTAAAATAGTCAGAATATAAACACTTAATATCGGCGTACCATAGTGTTTCAGGACATAGGCGCTGATCCCCACGGAAATGGCCAAGCACCCACGGAAAACCGAGAGATTCTCCATTCATTTTATCCAGTCAAAAAATCGTTTGAGATTCGGAATCCTCTCTGATTGGTGGATCTCATATCATGTCCAGGCGGGTCGTAATACACACAACTCTACCGGTATATTTAGTGCTACAACATAACCTGACACAAAAGCTTGTGCTTTGTGTTTTTTTTTATTTTTATTTTTTTTATGATAAATTGTGTTTTACATAATTAACTCCAAAATGATCAGGTGTATTAGCGAGAGAGAAACTCGCAACAGCACTCATGGAAAGAATGTGTTTTTGTTTGGTTGGTAATGTATTTGCTGTCCATTTGTTTCTCTTTGCGATGTACTAATAACCTTTGTGTAATGAATTCATCAAGCGCAGAAAAAGACATTACTCTTGAAAGCCAACGCCAAGTATAATTAATTGAGTAATGAGCATGTAAAATATTTTAAGGGGCATTTGTTGCATACATGTCACCTTGCGTAGCCCAATTATCATTTGCTCATGGAAAAATAGATTAATAAAGATGTTTATATTTGGTTGGTAATGTATTTGCACTTGTTACATAGTGTACCTTTACATTAATTTGAACAGCATTTCCAAGAAAACGTGTTTTGTTTTGAACGCATTGAACATTATAGAAAGGAAAAAACGAAGACATATCTGGCAGCATAGGAAGAAAATGGCAATATCTGTACATAAATACAACAAACTAATAGTATTTCTTTCTTTCTTTCAAATTGCATTTAATACTTTCATACATCCATATTAAGACAGTAAAGGTGGGACAGTGTGCTGCATAAGGAATGTCAATTTATCAATGACCTCACACAAATCAGGTATGGACGACTAGTTTGAGTTGAAGTGGCGCATTTTAGTAAACAATCTGTCCATGTCCTACAGGAGGACATGCTGCTTGAAGATAGTAAGACTCTTGGAGACTGTGGCTTCACAAACCAGACAGCCAGGCCTCAGGCTCCGGCCACAGTAGGGCTGGCTTTTCGCATCAGTGGTGAGTTCCCATTTCCAACACTTGCCTGTGGTATTTTGGTGATTCGGATTTGCTTACTGTGTCTGTTTTTATCACAGATGATGCTTTTGAGCCTCTAAGAATAGAGGCCTTCTCCAGCCCTCCTGAGCTTCCTGATGTTATGAAGCCTCAAGACTCGGGCAGCACCGCCAACGAACAAGCCGTGCAGTGAAGGAGGAACCGACGAGAAAAGGGGTTGGGAGGGGGAGGGAGGGGGGGTGGGGTAAGGCAGAGGTAAAGAGTGTCCAAAACAGCGGACAAGCAAAACGTGTGTGTATTAAGATGGTGGTGTGTATCGAGTTACATAAAGAAGGGGGAAGCATGAGTGAGAGTGATCTTGTGTGATATTGTAACTTTGCTGAGAATTTGAACTGCTCTCCCTGTTACGCCTCACGTCCCATCAAGCACTAGCAGCTTACTCTCACTGTATCGTCGCAAACCCTTCCAATATTCAGTGTCTGCTCAGTGCTCATCTACTGGTTAATCCACCAATCACACCCCTTTTGGCGCAGGCACATTTTGATTTGGTAATGTTTTCCTTCATTTCTGAATGAATTGCTCATTTGTTAGTCACCCGTCAAAGGTGGTTAGATATCAGAGTGTTTAAACCTGTGCTCCTTATTTAATTCACGCAAATGTTATGTTTGGAGAGTTAAACAATTTGTGCTTTTTTGTGTGTTATGATCTGTTAGGGCCGGGGTGGGTTTGTGTAAGTGGCTGTGAGGTTTTACAAATGCCCACTTTACTGATCGCATTTACAGTACGCTGTTGTGTGTTAATGACTATTGATATTATAATTATTCTTATTTAGATCCTTCATAATTTTATTGGGGCGCTAAAGGCCTTAGGCTGAATCGTTTTATGTTACCAACTTAGTGTAAATGCACATGGAACTGACTGAACATCAGAATGGGCATGGATGCCATCAGGTTATACCTGCAGATTAATTCCCAGCACATGGTTATGGTGAATTCTGACATACAGTGGTTTCATTGTAAATACATTTTTCCACATGCATTGTTGCTTCTTGAAGTGTTTTGCATTTCTTCACAATTTTGTGTTTGAGTTAGTATCTGCTTGTTTCTTTTTGAGTTTTTGTTTGGAAGCTTAAGTATCGACATTTAATTCCCTGATTTTGTATTTAAATCAAAGGGGAGTGTAAATGCTAGTGAGTTTTTTTCTTTTGTGTGTGTGTGGCATTTTTAAATGGTGGAAAGAATCAACTAAAAATGTAAAGATCAATAAGAATGAAGCCTTTGGGCGTAGTTGCTTGAACAAGTGAATGTTTTAAATTTAACACAAACGCTGACATTGTGTTCATCCCAAAAAACAGAAGCTCCTAATGTTTTTGCGAACTCACCTTGATCCTTGTCAGTGCTCTTGCAAAAAAAATAGAAACTGAAAAGAAAATTATGCTGCAGTATCTGTAACTGCGTTTAAATGAATTAAAATCAGCCCTTTTCCACTCCTTGTTTAATGTTCAATGTCTACTTATTAACAGTAAAGGAACTAAAGGCAAGGGGGAGAAAATTAACAATAAATAATATTTCAAGTAAATGACATAAAAAAAAAATAGGAAATTGGAACCAAATAATATTTTCCTTGCTTTTGTGTTTTCAGATACAAAGCGTTTTAAAGTACTGTTGAAATTTGTTAAGAAATGCATTAAATTGTGGTTTATGATGGGAGAATTTTCCTTTATGTATGTGAAACTTATCCTAAAGAAGTCATACAAATACTAAACTCTTACAATGCCTTTATATGTAAACCAAACAACACCTATTTCAAAAATAAAGACAACGGAAAGTTCACATTTACACACGTACATGCAAAAACTTCCCCAAATACTTTTGTGTAATAACTGGGTGAATCAGTTGAACCGGTTCACAAAACCTGAGCGATTCAGGCGTGCTCGGTTCCAGTGGTTTTCGTATTCTCTGATTCGTAATGAACCATAGTATTTGAAATGTACGGAGGACTTGCCTAACTTGATTGTGGCAATTTTATCAAAAAGCATACGGAATAGCGGTGGTTTATATATTAGGCTAAGTTAAATGTGTATTAAACGTTCAGCTGAGAAATTCGTATTTATTATATTTATAGGTTGCCCTTTTTTTTAAACCAGTTGATGCATGAAATTCTAATAAACATGATCCTTAACAATAAAGAACATCACAATCATAGTGATGCCAGAGACCATGGTTGCGTCATGAGAGAAATTGATAGAATCTTCGATCACCAGTGTCAAATTCAGAATTTTGTTTTATGAACGTAACGTTAGCTCAGTCAAGAACAAGTTAAAAGAGAAAAAACAATACCAAAGGGGAAATCAACCAAGAGGTCCTCGCTGCAGCCTATAGCACGATGACGTAGCTGGATGGTCCATACGTAGTGGATGGAGGTGTGTTTTGGTGACGTCATAGACGCATGCGCATAGACTATCTACATTGTTAAAAGCGCTATTTCATAGTAGTTATTTCATGCATTATTTCAAGCGCTATTTCATGCATCAACTGGTTTAAAAAAAAGGGCAACCTATAAATATAATAAATACGAATTTCTCAAGTCAACTTCATTTATAGCGCTTTTAACAATGTATATAGTTTCAAGCTTTACAGAGATAAACATATAATTTAAGGTAAATGAGATTGTTTTGGCTTTATAGAGGTTCTTGAATAATGTTATTTTCCATCTTAAGTTAGTTTTGATTGATTCACTTCTGTCGAAATGATCATTTGTTATTAAATTAGGGGACGACCCCGTTCTCTCTGAACATACTTTTAACGCAAACCTGTGATAAACGCTGATGGCGTTCACATGCGCATTAAAGGGGTCATATAATGGTACATGCACTTTTACAAGTTGATTGTACTGAAATGTGTGTTGGCAGTGCCTGTACACAAACATCATAAAATGATAAAAATCCATCCAGTGTTTTTGTTTTAATCTCCTTATATGTTTTCCCCTGCCTCAAATTGAGCCGTTCGATTTTGTGATGTCACACGCTCGGAAGCCCCTCCCACGATTGTTGATTGACAGCATCGTTCCAACACAGACCCGCCCTCGCTCGTGAGCCAGCTGTCAATCATAGTCCGCGCGGACCGGCGCGGTCATTGTTGATATGCTGGAGCACTGTCTATGAGCAGAATGGCGTCTAAGCGATTGTGATGTTCTGTTCTTGGGTGTAATAACGAACACAGCAGTAATTTTAATGTTCCTAAATCCGAACCGCTGAAGACGCAGTGGCGGAGTTTGTTTTCGAAGGGAATATTCCCCACGAGCAACGTCAATGCTCATGTTTGCGCGAATCATTTCTCACCAGACTGCTTTATAAGGAGGGTCAGTATGAGCTGGTTTTGCTAAGAAGCTGCTCATGAAAAAAGGATCGGTACCAGCTATTCGTGTTCCTGCTGAACCTCTAGAACAACTGAAGTGAGTGTAACATTTTATTAAACTTTATATTAATATTTATATTAATCTTTGCAAATCGCTAGCTGCACGCTTCACTGAATGCGTCTAAGGTTTACACTTAGGGTACATTACAGCATGTTTTCTATGTATGACGTTCTCAATATAATTCGTAATCCCACGTTTATACTGAACAACGCGTTATGGTTATTGTGTTACAAATGGTGTACGCACAGAACAGAGGGGCGGGGTGAGCAAAGCTCATTATCATTTAAAGTCAAATGCACTGAAACGGCGTGCTGAAAACAGAGCTGTTTTTGACCAGGTAAAATAACTGTTTTCTTACAATACTAATGAGAATTTTTAATTAAACTATATTACAAACTTTTAATTTAGACCCTAAAGAATAATATTAGCTTGTACAAAAATGGCATTATGTGACCCCTTTAAGAATTGATTCTGTAGTTAGAGTAGGTGTAGAGAGAGTAGATAGTTGGTGAACAATCGCACGTGCTTTGATCTTCCAAGAAGAATAAAGTTAAATATAAATGGTCACTTGAGTTTGGAAGCTCTTTTCCGCCACAGAATAAAACATTTAAAAATATATAATTGCGACTTTTTCGAGTTTACATCTCCCATACTGACTTTATTTCTCAGAATTGTGAGTTATAAAGTCAGAATTGCGTGAAATAAAGTCGCAATTGTGTGCTATAAAGTCAGAATTCTGACTTTTTTTCTCGCAATTCTGAATTTATAACACATAATTGGGAGTTTACGTCTCCCGATTCTGACATTTTTTCTCAGAATTGTGAGATATAAACTCGCAATTGCGAATTATAAAGTCAAATTCTAAGGGAAAAAATGACTTTTTTTTTTTTTACCTCAGAATAGTTTAATATCTCACAATTCTGACTTTAGGCTATATATAACACACAATTGCGACTTATCATGCAATTCTGACTTTATATCTCCCAATTCGTATTATAAAGTCGGAATTCTGACTTTGTTCTCGCAATTCTGAATTTATAACACATAATTGAGTTTTTATATCTCCCAATTCTGACATCTTTTCTCAGAATTGTGAGATATAAACTCGGAATTGCGAGTTATAAAGTCAAATTCTAAGGGAAAAAATGACTTCTTTTTTTTTTTTTTTACCTCAGGTATATCACAATTCTGACTTTATAACACACAATTGCGACTTTATATCATGCAATTCTGACTTTATATCTCCAATTTGCGTACAAAGCCAGAATTTCAAGTAGCCTCGCAATTGCGAGTTTATATCTCATAATTCTGACTTAATAACGCGCAATTGCGACTTTATATCAGACAAATCTGACTTAATAACACACATTTGCAACTTTATATCACGCAATTTTGACTTTATAACCTGCAATTGCGACTTCAATTCTGAGATAAAAAGTCAGATAAAAAGTTTTACCTTTTTTATTTCTCACTCTGTGGCGAAAACAAGCTTCCATAGCCTACCATATGTATTGCAGACACTGAACAGCAAATTAAGAGGAACCGTAGGCTACAGATCACTGTGGAAAAATGAGTGTAGCCATTAAAGAAGGATCTCTTAACAGGCAAAATATCAAGCACATTTTTTTTTTTTTTTTTACGTCTGACAAGATTTATTTTCTTGATGCTGTTATTATTTTTGCATTTTCCCTTGAATGTGTACTGGTATTTTAAGATGTTTACAGACTTTATTGTAGTGTACCTTTAAAATTACAAAGACAATTAGGCTAGCTACTTGATTCATTTTTGCTTCCACTCAACAGCAAATGTGACCTGAATAAAATAAAATGGCTTTAAAAATAAAAAATAACAAAAGTTCTATACACGCATTTAAAAAAAACGTGCGGTGAGGACATGCTATTAATCTATCAAATTTAGGTTTAAAATCATGTGATTTAAAATGTTGTAAAATTAACTATTTTGCATAGCCTATGTATGAAACTCGGATAAGCATCCCATTTATGTAAATAATTACTTATTTATCAATAATTACTTATAACTATTTAACAGTACTATACTACACAGGTTAGAACATCATCTCAGTACAATATTGAGCATACATGCGCATATGACGTCAGCAAAACACACCTCCATCCACTACGTATTGGACCATCCAGCTACGTCATCGTGCTACAGGCTGCAGCGAGGGGTGTCACCGTTGACTCTGCGCATGCGCAGTATATCCATCTATTTAGCAACAACAGAAGCTAATGGATATAGGATCGTCTGTTTTAAAAACCTTTCTTAAATATCTTCCGCGTGTTTTGGTTTCAGGTTGTAATTTATCTCATTCTTACCACTAAGTAATTTAGGTTTTAAGAATTTCAAAGTCGCATCTCACTGTTAACTGAATTGCAAGTTAAGCTATCCACGGTGAAGTTAGCGCGCTAGTATCTACTTGCATATCTAATAAGTTTTACCCTCATTATTGCTTAAACTGAGATATTTACTCCGGTTGCTCAATTGAATCTGTTACAATAGCACCGTTAGCAACGTTTAAGAGACAAATTTATTTGGCTTAGGCTAGCTTTGACCGAAATCATCCGTTTTCTCCTACATTAATCCGATTAAAACTTGCATCCAGATGGAGGTTCGTAAAAAGAAGGTGGCAGCCGCAGGACGGGTGATAATGGACGTCATCCAGGCTGAGTGGGAGCCACTGTCTCACTGGGAGCTTGATCAGCGACTAGACCGCGCAGTGGAAGAAATGATAGAGGCTGACCTGGTGGCCCAGGTTCAGGAGCAGTCAGCCTCTGTGACCATGCAAGCCTCTCAACAGGAGGATTCAACACCTCTAGATCAGGCGCAAACAGAGACTCCTCCTCGGCTGTCAGAGTCTGTTTGCGCATTGCAACGTTCACATGTTACTGAAGCCATGGAGGCAAATCCTGCCGTACAGGTAGGTCGAGTGTCTCATGCACTTTACATCATATTATATCACAGCAATTGTAATGCTTAATTCCCATCAGTGGTTCCCAACCAGGGGGCCTCAGCAACTTCCAAGTCAAGATGACTTGAGGGATAAAATAAGCCAACTAGATAAAAAAAGATACAAATAACTAAAATCAAGATATTTCTTATTTTTATTTTATTTTTTGTTTCATTGAAGAACCAGGATTCCTGTGGCTTCCTAAACCTGAATATATATGGTAGCCTAATTGTAAAGACCTTGAAAAGTAAGGCAAATTAATCAAGCATTTTAGCTCCATGGGTATTTTTTTTTTTAACAATAATACTTTTACTGTCTGCACACTTGAATCCTTTAAAGCAATTTTAATCGCCAAGCTTTCGGTCACAAGACCATCCTCAGGGCATACAAAAACTAAATGTCACATTCCATTTAACTGTGTTCAAAACACATCAGGACAATCAACAATAATAACCCACACCTGCAGAGGCCAGGTATGACCAGTTGTAGTCCAATAGTGGGAGTTGTAGTTTTTAGGTGATCAACACTAACTCCACATAGTGAAAAAACAAAATGGAACAAAGAAAAATGAAAAACCACACTACAAGAAACCGACATAAGTATACATATACAAAAAATATACAAAAAATATATATAGAGGCGCATATATATATACACACACATTCATTCATGCTTACTATATAAGTGTATGGAGACTGCAAAAACATCAGTAACAACTTCATAAACTATAGATTTTCAAAAAATGATTAGTGAGATGACGACTAAAGCCATAGAACAAAATTGGATAACCAAAGAAGAATTCATCTATCTTAATAGACAACATCCAGTCACTCCAGTTTTCTATATGCTTCCTAAAATACACAAAAGCCTTATTAAACCCAAGGGCAGACCTATAGTTGCTAGTAATGAGTCACTATTAGAGCCATTATCAAATTTTGTAGATTATTTCATCAAACCTTTTGTGAAACATCTGCCAGCTTATGTACAAGATTCTACGGATGTTATTAATAAAATCTCTGAACTCCAGGATCTCCCCCCTGATACTATTTTAGCGACGTTTGATGTAGAAAGTCTATATACCAATATTTCTCACGAACAAGGTATTATAGCACTAGAATACTACCTACAGAATCGTCCTGAGGGTGTGAATCCACCCAGCACGTTTATCTGTGATCTAGCATCAACAATCCTCAGATTAAACTTCTTTGTTTTCCATCAGGGAGAATATTATCTCCAAGTTAAAGGCACAAGTATGGGGAGTACCTTTGCCCCCAGCTATGCTAATTTATATGTTGGATTCATTGAACAACAGTTTATTTTTAATGAGGATAGAAATCCCTTCCTGAGTAATATCATTAGATATTTTAGATATTTGGATGATGTCTTGTGTGTTTTTAAAGGGTCACAGGATGAGTTGAATGAATTCACGACTCACCTCAATAGGATGAGTCCTGATTTGAAATTCAGTGTAGAATCCGACTCAAAACGCGTGCATTTCTTAGACATGTGGATCAAACTAGATAAGGGTAGATTAACCACAACCCTCTATCGTAAAGAGACTGATCGCAATTCGTTCCTTTTGGCAAGCAGCTCGCATCCCAGTGCCCTAAAAAACGGCCTGCCGAAGAGTCAATTTTACAGACTTAGACGTAATTGCCATTCAATTGAAGAGTTTAAAGAAAATGCTATAGATATGAAACAAAGATTTTTAACCAGGGGTCATCCCACTAAAAGTATTGAAGAGGCCTATAATACTGCCCTCTCTACACCACGATCACACCTTTTGAAAAAGAGTTGTAAAAAGGACAAAAAATTCTCTATCTCCTGCATAACTTCGTTTACTCCAAGATCCTTTATTATTAAAAACACCATAATGAAATATTGGCACCTTATATCTGATGATTCTTCTCTTCAGGATAAATTTAAGGATCCACCTTTGTTTGTTTCCAGACGGGGCCCTAACCTTCGCAATAGGTTAGTCAAAGCATGTATAAGATCAGCCCCAACCCAAACACTCTTAGCACCCCTTAGGGGTGGGAACTGTCCCTGTGGGAATTGTGCCCAATGTAATAACACACACAAGACCTATAACTTTAAACATCCTAGATCTGGTAAGAGCTACAATGTGAAGGGCATTATTACATGTAAAACTAAGAATGTTGTCTACATTTTAAGATGCCCTTGTGATATGGTGTATGTGGGAAAGACCACACGTAGTTTAAAACAGAGGATCAGTGAGCATAAAAGCTCGATTCGACGTGCTGACCCTAACTACCCTGTGCCCTGTCACTTTACAGAGGTTGCTCATTCAGTTTCTTCTCTACGTTTTCAGGGAATTGAGCAGATTAAATTACCTAGAGGTGGCAATATTGATAAAGTGCTATGCCAAAGGGAACTTTACTGGATTCATACTCTGGACGCCTTGCATCCTAAAGGTTTAAATGTGGACTTTGACATGAGTGTCATGCTATAGTCACAGTTGTACGGTCTTTTATAAGTTTTCTATAAGTTTTGAATACTGCAGTTTATGAAGTTGTTACTGATGTTTTTGCAGTCTCCATATACTTATATAGTAAGCATGAAGGAATGTGTGTGTATATATATATGCGCCTCTATATATATTTTTTGTATATTTTTTGTATATGTATACTTATGTCGGTTTCTTGTAGTGTGGTTTTTCATTTTTCTTTGTCTTTGTTCCATTTTGTTTTTTCACTATGTGGAGTTAGTGTTGATCACCTAAAAACTACAACTCCCACTATTGGACTACAACTGGTCATACCTGGCCTCTGCAGGTGTGGGTTATTATTGTTGATTGTCCTGATGTGTTTTGAACACAGTTAAATGGAATGTGACATTTAGTTTTTGTATGCCCTGAGGATGGTCTTGTGACCGAAAGCTTGGCGATTAAAATTGCTTTAAAGGATTCAAGTGTGCAGACAGTTTATTTATTTTCTGAGTTGTTTAGTTGTGTCTGTCTGGCACCTTGTTTATCGTGAGTGCGGTGAAACGCCTTTAAAATAACAATAATACTTTTTAAAAAAAATGTATTCCAAGCTCTAAAATATTTTATTGGGTAGAATTGTGAGTTAAAACATTTTAATATCATTAATCTTTATCCTGTAAATCAGGAACAACTGTAAAAATCATGTGGCCTTGGAATTTAAAAAAGGTTTAAAACTTCTGCTTTACATATTATGTTGTCTTGTTATTTCTTGCAGTATGTAACACATTTTCTGCAAAGTTCCAACAAGAGCTACAGCAAAAACCGATTGTCTGGAAGAGCTCGACTGTCCCTGTCTCACACTGTCCTCCTGTCCCTCACCCTCCTGTCCAAACGCATCAGCTATCGCAGTGTGTCCTCTAGTTTCCACCTAGAGAAGGGAAATATTCACAGGATCTTCTTTTCTTTCTGTGATCAAGTGATTGCACAAAAGGATCGGCTCATTCAGTGGCCTACAGGTATGAGTTAATAAGAGTTAAGTTCATTTCAGAATCTACAGCTGTTTTCATGGCAAGAACAGGGTAAAATCTGTTTAAAAAAAGATACATGAATAGTAAATTATTTATAAAAAAAAAAATACATCAAGAAGGATAACATTTATTTAGATTTTTTAGGGTAGTTCACACAGTTGCTTTTTACTTAATTTTAAATGAAAATACACAAAATACCGTCCAGAAGCATTAATTCATCATAGTCATCATGAACATAGTAGAAATGAAAGTTAATGCTGTTTGTGTTTTGTTTTGACAGGAGTAGACCAGGGTTATTATCGTTTACTAAAACTAAAACCATAAAGAACATAAATGAAATGAAAATAGAAATAAAATAGGAAAAACTTAAAGCTAGTTGCCAAGGCAGCATTTCTCATTTTTGTTTAGTTTAAGTTTAAGTGCTAAAATGTAAACTAGAAACATTATGTATAATTAATAAAAAATGTTATGATGCATTTAGGGGGCAGAAAAAAAGGGATAAACATGACGAAGGGTAATGATTAAAATAATAAAATGCATGAATAAATACTCATTAACACATGGCAATAGAACACTGAAAAGTACTCCAATTCTAAATATAAATCTGGATTATGATGATGATGTAGAAGTGAAATATACTGGCTGGGATGGAAAAGCATTAATCAGCCAAATCCTTCCAGTTAAGCAAGATTTGTCATCTATGTGAGAAAAGCAATAATATCAATATTTCAGGATCAGCAGGTTTACTCATTGTACAGCTGTTTTCTGCTTCCCCGTGTAGGACAGGAGGCCCTACAGCATCTGCTTCCTTTCTCCAGCTGGCTGAGTCGCAATGATGGTCTGGAAGAGAGAGGTCTTCCTCAAGTCCTCGGGGTGCTGGGTGACACACGCATCCCCATCCGCCTTCCCGCTGGCAAACCGGACAGCGAGAGTGAGGCTCCGGAAGCCAAGAGACTTAAGAACGAACCACATCCAGATTCATGGCTGAACTTGGAATTGGTCTGCAATGACAAGGGCCGCTTCATTTACTGCCACATCAGCAAAGGCTCAGAAAAAGGCAGAGGAAGTGCTTTAGCTGAAAGGCTTCAGCAACACCCCGAGATGGTGCCTCCAGGGACCTGCCTGATAGCCGGAGTTGGATACCCGCTCACAGAACAAATACTTACTCCTTTTTCAACAGGTCGAAACCCACAGGAAAACCTCTACAACAGATCTATGGGAACCCATTTAGGCCGATTCAACCAGGTTGTGGCGGACCTTAAAGAGCGATTCCAGAAATTGAGATATTTGGATATGGGGAACTACGATAGGGCAAAAGCTGTGGTTCTGACTGCTTGTATATTACACAATGTTTTTCTGGACATGGGGGATGTGACAAAGGGACTGGTAGATAAAAGCACAGCTGAAGATGTGGAGGAGGTAAACGAAGATGCTGCTGGGGTGAAAATGAGGGAGACTGTAGTGAATCTTCTTTATAGTGCATTGGAATCGAGAACACAATAAGAGTTTGACCTTATTGTCAAAATGTGCATATTTAAAGGGATAGTTCATCCAAAAATTCCAAACCTGTGACTTTAATTCATCATCAGAACACATAAGATGATATTTTTTATATTCTCTCTTACTTTTTGTCAATCCATTAAAAAAAGTAAATGCAACCATGCATCATATGTCAAAAGTAACCATTGTAAATGTAATCCATATGAACCCAGCAGACTTCAAGTCTTCTGAAGAGACACGAGACATAACATAATTAATTTTAGGCTAACAAATAAAATAAATAAATAACCTAATCTAAATCTGTTCATCATAAAGTGATCTTGTCTCTTCAGAATATGTGGAATAAATCGTGCAATTCATATGGATTTCTTTTCTGGTGTGTGTCTTTATAAACTTTTCGAACCACCAAAGTTTTGGTTACCTGGAATTCCAATGGAGGGACGGAAATTTCTTTATTTGTGCTTCCAACATGAATGAAAGTCTCATAAGTTTGGAATGACATGAGGGTTAGTAAATGACAGAATTTTCATTTTTGGGTGAATAACCCTTTAAAGCTCTGATATAGACCTAGTTTAACAAAAATTAAACCTGTAAAATTTCATACTAGAACTCTGTACATATGTAATTAATGGATATTTGGTGGTTTAAAAAAAGGCTTGCAGAAACATTTTGATAAACACATGATGTATGACTTTTATTAAAACATAAATACAATGTACAACTTGTCTTTACTTTTTTTTACATGAATGCAACAATTTCAACTGCTCTGTAATATTTAACAATTATTGGAGGAAAGGAAAACCAAGCACACTTTTAACAAGTTACTCTTCAATTCAAGTCATCCATTTCTCTGAAAAAGGTCCAACATATCAGGCATTTCTCTAAAAATAAAAATGTAAATGTTTATATGAAAAGACGATGACACAAACATGACTAATTCCTATTGCTGGTTAGAAGGGGTGCCCGACGCAACACACTCTTTGGGTATTTGAATGGAATTGTTCTGGGACAGACAAGTAATGGCACGTGCCAGATTATTGATGGCCTCAATCTTCCTCTCTTCCAGAGCTTTCTGCTGAGCCCACATGTTCAGTTTCCTCTCCTGCAGCTCCAGGTACAACTGCAGCAAATCCTGAGGAGGCCTGGCATTGGGTAACTGTGATGCTGTGGGTGTGGGCAGAATTGGGGTAAATCGTTTACTGGCTATGGCCTTGCCCAGTTTAGTGCCATTAAGCTTTGCCTTCCGCTGAGCCTCAACCTCCTCGTAGCTCCTTCCCAGCACTTCATGCATCTCCTTGAAGAACTCCCAGTGAACACTACTGGTTCCCAGTCTTTTGGCTCTCTCCGCATTTTTGCGGTACGTCGCTAGCATGTTTCTCCACTTGAGGTCACATTCGAAGGCTTTGACTGAAACATCTGTGCTTTCATCGGCTCGTAGCTTTGCCGTCACCCTCTCGGCCACAGTCTCCCACAGCTTCTTCTTTTTGCACACAGGCTGGTCAAACTCTGGGTCCATGTCCAAACGAACATGGACCAGATGCCATGTAGCTTGTATTGTCCACACAAACTCTGAATAATACAAAAATATTAGTTATTATTTCAGAACAAGAATTTAACCAAATATTTAGGATTGGAAGGAAATGTAATTTATTCAAATTAATTTATTAAATATACAAGGTTTCGACCCGAAGGTCTTCGTCTGGCAAACAACAAGTACACAGAAAGGTACACCAATGCTAAATTGTTCTATATATCCTAATAATTTGTTTACAACATGTATTCTTTACTTCAATGAGCTCACTGTTTCTGTCTTAAATTAATAGCCTACATTGTGTAAATTAATACATTGTTAGCTAACTGCATGATTTGTATATGTACATTTCTGAAATACATCATTTACAGTCACCTCTGATAATAACAGATCACTTTTAAATTGTAATGTAGACACATGCACCTTCTGTAAAGCTGCTTTGAAACAATATGTATTGTATCGACCTAATTAATTACCCAATCATCCAATAAACTGGAAAAAATGTCCTGGTTTCACAGACAGGTCTTAGATTAAACCAGGATTAGGGCTCAGTTCAATTAGGGCATTTAAGTAGCTTTTTAAACGTGCCTTAGATAAAAAAAAAAAGCATTACTGGTGGTGTGCATCTTGAGACCAAACAATGGCACTGACATATGTTAAGATATACCAGTGCAAATTGCTTTCAGTTAAAACTGCTCAAACATGCATTTCAGTCGGGGACTAGCTTAAGCTTTGTCTGTGAAATCGTTTTAACTGAACCACTAACAAAATTATTCCAGTTTTTAATAGACTTACAGATCGTACCAAATACATGGAAGTTATCATTTATACGACCTCTTCCGAAAAAAGTGAGAGCAAAAAATGTAGAGGACTTTCGTCCTGTGGCTCTGACATCTATACTCGCTAAAAGCATGGAAAGAGTAGTTAGCTACCACCTTAAACCATACATATCAGAGCAATTAGATGTACTGCAATTTGCATACAAATCACAAAGAGGGACAGAGGATGCCATGCTCACCATGGTCGATACAATTGCTAGCCATCTACAACGAGCAAAGGCTTATGTGCGTGTTCTTTTTATTGATTATACCTCTGCCTTTAACACCATGCAGATACATTTGCTCCTGGAACGTCTCCTGGTTCTAGGTGTAAATGGAGGAATAGTTCACTGGATAAAGAACTTCTTAACAAATAGACCACAGCAAGTTTGTGTTAGGAGGTTCAAATCAGACATTATGTTTTTAAATACGGGGGCACCACAAGGATGTGTCCTGTCACCCCTTTTATTCTCTGTTTATACAGGTGGTGTAAGAGTGCAGCATGAGAATTATAAATTATATAAATATGCAGATGATATGGCACTTGTGGCACTTTTATGGAAAGACTGTGTACATTTTGAGTACGAGGAGCAGGTCCTGGAACTAGAAAAATGGTGCGAGGCAAGTTCCTTACTGATAAATGTAAGTAAAACAAAAGAATTGATTTTAAATTATTCAGAGCCTCTAACAGAATTAATGCTATGTGATCAAACAGTTGAAATTGTGAAGACTTTTAAATATTTGGGAACCATGATTGACTGCAAATTGAATTTCTCTGATAATGTTAATCTTATTTGTAAGAAAGCAAATCAAAGGTTATACCTGCTAAGGAAGTTGAGAGAATTTTCTGTAAGTCAGGATGTTCTGCAAAGAGTTTATATAAGTTTAATTGAGAGTGCTTTAGGGTATAATATAACTGTGTGGTTTGGACGAGTTACATCTGTGAATAAAGTCAAATTAGATAGAATTACAAGAGTAGCGGGAAAAATTGTAGGATCTAAACAAAAATCAGTCGCACAGTTATATCAAATTGCTGTTCAGAGGAAAGCTTTGACTATAGCAAGAGACATAACACACCCATTGAATCATGTTTTTGAATTATTGCCATCACGTCGCCGCTATAGAACACCAAAAGCGATTTATAAACAATCTTTTGTACCAAATGCAATAAGTCTTTTGAATAAGAGGAGCTAAAATATTTTAATTCTTATGTGTATTGTTAATTGTTTTGTGATTGTATGGCGAGACCAAAGACCAATTTTCAGCCAAGGCTGAACAATAAAGTACAACTAAACTAAACTAAACTAAACCGGGGGAATAACTATCAAAAAAATAATAATTACAATGAACGGAAAAATAGACTACAAAATGTCACCAGTATACAAAAAAATAACAATTCACAAAAAAGGTTTGAGATCAAACTATGAATTAAGACCTTTAGGGAAGGAGTATTCAAAACATTTATCTGATCGAGCTCCTGCTTAGAGTTTCTAGTTGTGTGCATAACATTATTTTGAATAATTAAAGAATGAACCATTAAAAAAATGAGGATATATCACAATCAATGTACAGTAAAAATTAGTATCTATCTATATATTACATTTTATTATGTACCATTATTGTATGTTGAGATTTTTATTCATATCACAAAAATAATCAATTACAATATTACATTCAAAATATTCTAGAAAACGGGATTGATAGTTAAAAAATATACCATAATAAATCTATTGTTTTGAAGGTCTGAAACACTCCTAAGTAACTTAAACTTGTGTGAGGGCCAATCAGTTCCTCCATCAGGCTCATCGTGTTTTCCTCGCGGTGTCGATGCACAGACTGCTGCTCACTACTTCATTGACTTACTTACATATCTCACCTGCTTTTGACTTTTCGCTCTCCAAAGTCGTAACTGTAGTTGTTAAATCCTCCACCTCAATGGCGTCTGTGACAATTGACTCAATGACCTCCATGTTGCATTTATTTGTATTTATATCGTCAAACGTTATGGCGACTAATCGTGGATTTTAACAACACCAGCGATGGGTTTTTTTCGAGCGTCGACAACAGCGATGATAATAACAACGACCTCGTTTGCACCAGACAGCGCTGGACAGGGTGTTGTTGTATTTTTTTTCCGGAAATGAACATTGCGTGTGATGTAGGATTTGTGGGAAATGCATGCCATTGTTTTTACAAGTCTTTCGCCCGCAAGCTAGAACTTCAAAACGAACGGCATGTTTTGTTCCTTACCAAAAAAACTAGTATCTGCATTTATGAATTTTTACCGTTTTTATTGTTCCGTTATCAGTATTATAAAAAGACATTAATCGAAATGTTCTGAAACTACAACTCCCATATGCTTTCAAGAGGTCGAGTCTGCAAATGCCCCTCCCTTTCTGAAAAACCTTCCTGTTTGTCGCTCTGCTAAAAGATGGCGCCTGTGCAAATCTGAGGAGATTGCGCTTTGTAGCGCGTAGGAAACTTGACGTGAGTAAGATGAACAGTTAACGAAGCCTTCTCACTCTTCATCGAAACATCAAAATACACCCAAATAGATTACTCTCAGGCAGCACTGTCAATGTTTTTGATTTTTTTTTTTGTGGCCTACTACCACCCACTGTAGGCCGTTATGAAATGTATCGCACGGTTAAAAGACTTCTTTTCCCAGAAGTCATTGCTTTGGGCTTGCTTTGATTGGTGAACAT